CCTGATTGAAGAGGTTAAATGAGGGCATTACTGGGATGGGAGGGGTCTTTGGTGATGTTGGCAGCCTTTCCATGACAGCGAGAAGTATAAACGGAGTCCATGAATAGGAGGCTGGCTTCCATGATGGTCTGAGCTGTGCACACAACTTTCTGTAGTTTCTTACAGTCCTGGGCAGAGCAGTTGCCATACCTGGTTGTTATGCACCTGGATAGACTGCTTTCTATGGTGCATCTGTAAAAGTTGGTGAGGGTCCTTATGGACATGCCAAATTTCCTGAGCCGCCTGAGGAAGAAGAGGCGTTGCTGTGCCTTCTTGATCATTGCATCTAAGTGGGAGGTCCAGGACAGATTGTTTGTTATCATCACTCCTAGGAACTTGATGTTCTTGACCCTCTCCAGTCAGCTCCGTTGACCTAGATAGGTGCTTTTCCTCCTTTCTTCCTGAACTCACTGATCAGTTCTTTTGTTTTGCCGACTTGGGAGAGAAATTGTCATCATTGCACCACAACACCAAGCCCTCTGCCTTCTTTCTGTAATCTGACTCATTGTTGTTTGATATCTGGCCTACCGCAGTGGTGTCATCAGCAAACTTGTAGATGGCGTATGTATGGAATCTGGCCCACATGGTTGTGGATGTACAGGGAGTGCAGTAGGGGACTGAGAAGGTGTCAGTGTTGAGGATTATCGTGGAGGAGGTGCTGTCGTCCATCTTTACTGATTGCGGTCTGTGAGTCAGGAAGATGAGGAACCAGTTGAGTGAATGGAGTCGAGTCCTAGGTCTCAGAGTTTTGATATTAATCTGGTCAGAATTATGGTATTGAAGGTGGAGCTGTAGTCGATGAGTGGGACCCTGATGTAGGTGTCCTTGTTATCCAGATGTTCCAGGGATGAGTGTAGGGCTAGGGAAATGGCATCCACTGTGGATCTGTTTCACTGGTAGGCAAATTGCTGAGCATTGAGGCAGACAGGGAGGCCTGAGTTGATGTGGGGCCGTGATCAGCCTCTTGAAGCACTTCATGATAATGGAGGTCAGAGGCACTGGGCGGTAGTCGTTGTGGCATGCTGCATGTGTTTTCTTTGGTGCTGGGATGATGGCAGTTTTTTGAAGCATAGAATCATCATAGAATCCCTACATCATGGAAACACGCCATTCGGCCCAACAAGTCCACACCAACTCTCCGAGGATCATTACACCCAGACTCACCCCCCTACCCTATCCCCATAACTCTGCATTTCCCATGGCTAATCCACCTAATCTACACATCGCTGGACACTATGGGCAATTTAGCACGGCCAATCCATCTAACCTACACATCAATGGATTGTTGGAGGAAACCCACGCAGACATGAGGAGAATATGCAAACTCCATACAGACAGTCGCCCGAGACTAGAATTGAACCCGGGTCCCTGGCGCTGTGATGCAGCAGTGCTAACCACTGAGCCACTGTGCCACCCCGAAAGCAGATGGGGACTTCAGGTTGTTGCAAGGAGAAGTTGAAGATGTCAGCAAATACCTCCACCAGCTGGTCCGCACAGAATCTAAGTGTGTGGCTGGGGGCTCGGTTTGGGGACATCGCTTTCCTCGGGTTTACTCTCAGGAAGACTGATCCGATGTCTGCAGCTGGGACAGAGGGAACGGGTGCACCTGGGGCTGTCGGGGCAGGTGACACCACACTGTTGGCATTCCGCTCGAACTGAACATGCGTGCATTAGGGAGGGATGTGTTTTTGGACGCTATTTTGTTCTGCCTCATTTTGTATCCTGTTATGTTATGTAGGCTAGAAATTTGTAGGCGTTTTGTGCCTGGAAGTCTATGTCTAATGGGGCTCCACATGGATCAGTGTTGACTTTATATTAGCTGAGGCATTTAAGAGCAGGGAGGTTATGCTGGAACAGTATAAAGTGCTATTTATGCCGCAGCTACAGTGTTGTGTATGTTCTGGAATCCACAATATAGGAGGGATGTGATTGCACTGGAGAGGTTCCAGAGGAGATTTACCAGGATGTTTCCCGGACTGGAGAGTTTCAGTTATGAAGGATACACTGGGGTTGTTTTCTTTGGAGCAGAGGAGACTGAGGGGGGAGATGCATGATTGAGGTGAGGTGTTTAAAATTACGAGGGGCAGAGGTAAGGTTGACAGGAAGAAACTCTTCCCCTTGGTGAAGGGATCAATGACTGGGGACAAAGATTTAAGGTAAGTGGCAGGATGTTTAGAGGGGATGTGGGGAAAAAATTTCACCCAGAGGCTGATAGGAATATGGAATTCACTGCATTAAGGATGGTAGAGGCGGAAACCCTCATAATATTTAAGAAGAATTTAAATGTGCACTTGCGATACCAGACTTTACAAGGCTATGGACCAGGTGCTAGATAATGGGATTAGAATAATGAGGTGGTTCTTTTTGACCAGTGCAGACTGGAAGGGCTGAAGGGCCTTTTCCTGGGCCATAGACCTCTACAACTATGACTATGACCCTACAACACGATAAAAGAGTAAGTCACAGGGTTAAAGGGAATGTTCAAGAAATGAAAATGTTCTTCTCCTCCCCTCCTCTGTCAGCATTTCAAAGAGTTATTCTTTTTGTGACACCCTGGGCTACTCCTCAATCACCGCTAAGAACTCATCCTCTTCTCATGGAATCACTTGGACGTGTGATATCTCCTCCTTCCTCACCATTGCAAGGCCTGAAACACTCCTTCCAGATGAAGCTATGATCTACATGTACTTCTTTTAATATTGTCTGGTGTATTCGCAGCTCACAATGTTCTCTCTTCTACAATGGGGAGACAGAACACAGATTGAGAGGCCACTTTGTGAAAAACCTCCATTCAGTCTGCAAGGATAAACCTGAGCTTCCTATGGACTATCATTATATTTTCCACCTTGGCCTTACAACAAACACCTATGTCCTTGGCCTACCACATGAATCTAGTGAAGTTCAAGATAGGCTTGAGGAAAGGCACCTCACATTTCACTTTCCAGCCTTCTGGAGTAAACATTGAGTTCAACAACTTCAGACAGTAATCCCTAGTCCAGAGATAGTAGGAACTGCAGATGCTGGAGAATCCGAGACAACAAGGTGCAGAGCTGGATGAACACAGCAGGCCAAGCAGCATCATAGGAGCAGAAAGGCTGACGTTTCGGGCCTAGACCCTTCATCAGAAATGGGGGAGGGGAAGGGGGTTCTGAAATAAATAGGGAGAGAGGGGGAGGCGGATAGAAGATGGATAGAGGAGAAGATAAGTGGAGAGGAAACAGACAGGTCGAAGAGGCGGGGATGGAGCCAGTAAAGGTGAGTGTAGGTGGGGAGTTAGGGAGGGGATAGGTCAGTCCAGGGAGGACGGACAGGTCAAGGGGGCAGGATGAGGTTAGTAGGTAGGAGATGGGGGTGCGGCTTGAGGTGGGAGGAGGGGATAGGTGGGAGGAAGAACAGGTTAGGGAGGCGGAGACGAGCTGGGCTGGTTTTGGCATGCGGTAGGGGGAGGGGAGATTTTGAAGCTTGTGAAATCCACATTGATACCATTGGGCTGCAGGGTTCCCAAGCGGAATATGAGTTGCTGTTCCTGCAACCTTCGGGTGGCATCGTTGTGGCACTGCAGGAGGCCCGGGATGGACATGTCGTCTGAGGAATGGGAGGGGGAGTTGAAATGGTTCGCGACTGGGAGGTGCAGTTGTTTATTGCGAACAGAGTGTAGGTGTTCTGCAAAGTGGTCCCCGAGCCTCCGCTTGGTTTCCCTGATGTAGAGGAGGCCACAATGGGTACAGCAGATGCAGTATACCACATTGGCAGATGTGCAGGTGAACATCTGCTTGATGTGGAAAGTCTTCTTGGGGCCTGGGATGGGGGTGAGGGAGGAGGTATGGGGGCAGGTGTAGCACTTCCTGCGGTTGCAGGGAAAAGTGCCAGGTGTGGTGGGGCTGGAGGGGAGTGTGGAATGGACAAGGGAGTCACGGAGAGAGTGGTCCCTCCGGAAAGCAGATAAGGGTGGGGAGGGAAAGATGTCTTTGGTGGTGGGGTCGGATTGCAGATGGCAGAAGTGTCGGAAGATGATGCGTTGGATCCGGAGGTTGGTGGAGTGGTACGTGAGGATGAGGGGGATTCTTTTTTGGTTGTTATTGCGGGGACGGGGTGTGAGGGATGAGTTGCGGGAAATGTGGGAGACACGGTTGAGGGCATTCTCGACCACTGAGGGGGGGGAAGTTGCGGTCCTTGAAAAACGAGGATATCTGAGATGTACGGGAGTGGAATGCCTCGTCCTGGGAGCAGATGCAGCGGAGGCGAAGGAATTGGGAATAGGGGATGGCATTTTTGCAGGAAGGTGGGTGGGAGGAGGTGTATTGTAGGTAGCTGTGGGAGTCAGTGGGCTTGAAATGGATATCGGTTTCTAGGTGGTTGCCCGAGATGGAGACGGAGAGGTCCAGGAAGGAGAGAGAGGTATTAGAGATGGTCCAGGTGAACTTAAGGTTGGGGTGGAAGGTGTTGGTGAAGTGGATGAACTGTTCGAGCTCCTCGTGGGAGCAGGAGGCGGCGCCAATACAGTCATCAATGTAACGGAGGAAGAGGTGGGGTTTAGGGCCAGTGTAGGTACGGAAGAGGGATTGTTCCACGTAACCTACAAACAGGCAGGCATAGCTTGGGCCCATGCGGGTACCCATGGCTACCCCCTTTGTCTGTAGGAAGTGGGAGGAATTGAAAGAGTCCAGTTTGTTTCCTTTTCATTGCATTTATCTGTATTTCTCTTATTTTTGTGTTCAGTCAGCAACACACCTACTCTACGAAAAGAAATTCATGTATTTATACTGTATCTTTCCGAACTATTGGATATTTCAAAGTAATGAAGTACTGTTTGCTTCAGAGTCACTGTTGTAAAATACAAAATACGCAGCTAACTTCTGCTTGGTGGTAATATAACAATCAACATAATAATGTGATGTTGTTTAAGGAATCAATATTGGCCATGATGCCAAGAATAACTCTTCCACTTTTTTTTGAAACAGTGCCACAAGATCTTCTACATATAATGGAGCCGAGCGGTGAAGCCCATATTTAATATGTCATTTGAAAAGGAGAACCCCTAACAGTGCAAAGCTGTTTTAGTGCTGTACAGAAATACTAGCTTTCATGTTTGTGCTCAAGCCTGGAGTTGAACTTTAATTCAGGACCTGGTGATTCAGAGGTAAATGCATTATCAGCTATTATCAACATTATCAGCCACAGGTGACAAACAAACTGGAAAGAAAGAAGATTATGCTGCTAGAAATTAAAAATTAATTCACTGCATCATCAAAGACCTTCACTTGATTCTGCCATTTAATTTAACATTAGAAGTTGGTTGGTGTGGGGGAGTTGGTTACAGGTTTGTAGGTGGGGTAAAAAGATGTAAACATATTCCGGATAAATTGAAAGACTTGAAGGGAGGGGGAGCATAAGGGGTTAATAATCATTATGCTATCCACTCGAGTGCATCCCAGTGATGTGAGATGAAATCGGATCACATGGAGTTGGAACCTGAGAGAAGCTGGTTCTAATGGAGTCTTGCCAAAGTTTGTCTCTGCAAACGAGTCGATACATGTTCATTAATTTGCACTAGCATTGTTCCCAGCCCCCTTCCATCAAAGGCACTGGAGCTCAGTCATTGTATTTACATATTAATAGCTGTTTATTGGGAGAAAGAGAGAAATTCAGCGATCCAGTTGGAACTATTCAAAGTGTATATTCAAATTGCATTATAAAATTTATCCTTCGAAGCATTATAAACAGTGTTACATAAATATGCCCACTGAAGGCAAGATCATCTTGTGACCATACCAGAAAATATACAAAATAAATTCTGTTATTTACTTGGGTTGGGAATTGGATGTTGATGCGACTGTGTGCAATGTTACCTTGTCACTTCACATTTTGACTCCTGGGCATCATTTGTACACTCAAGTACTGAGTTGTGCCTGAAGCCAGTGCAAAACGATCACTTCTTGCAGATATGAGTCAAAGTCCAAAGGGAATGAGACAGTCACTGGAGACCTGTGAAAATGAATACCAATGTGCTATGTCAGAAATTGATGGAGAGTCCAGAAAGTCTGCGTTTGAAGAAGGAGGTAGCTTGAGGCTGGGAAGGTTCACACTAGTACTACTGCTTCCCTGGTCCACAAAGAAAGTTAGCTAGTTTTAAAAATGCCATCCATCTATAGCCAAAATTCTTTTTTTTATATGTATACGAATATAGTAACCCATTATTTTCATTCATCATTTGTTCAATATATGCAGCAGCCTCTGACTGAAGATTGCCAGATCACCTTCTATTGATATTCCGAGTCCTCTGATCTGTTGTAAGGCACTTGATCAAAATTCTGTACGTGTACTTGTCAGTGGACATCCCAACTGCACATCTCAGCATGTGCAGAGACTGAAAAAGCCATGACTCAACATACTCCTCCTGAAATTAACAATAATGATGGCTTGGGGTTTTATGGGGTTTTTTGTGCTCAAAACATCCTAAAATATATTCAACACAAGCCAAATCCCTTTCTATATGGAAAACTATAATCCATACTGAAAGCCTTTCTTGTGATGTTAATCATTTTTCACGACAATGTGAGTGGAAATGTTTCCCACATGCTGTTTTGTCAAAATGTTATCACATTAATAGTTTTGTTTTGGTTTTCTATTTTAAGTTCATCTCTACATATTTCCTACATCTCCTTGTTTTCAGGTCGTATTATAGATATTTGTCTTTCCAGTAATATAACTTATGTTTTCTCCCCCAAGTTCTGCATTTTACTATCCGATGGGACAGATGTGCTGCAGTAAGACATCTAACAGCATTCATTGGAAGTTGAACTTGTCATTGCACCTTTCAGCCTAGAACAATTTGTCCATTCTATTACTGAAAGTGTGAACTGACACCATTGAAACTAGAAACAATTATGCATCTGCTCAGCACTGGGTATTGGTGGACTGTTAATGAATAAATATCAGTGAGTGCTGTGAGTATCATTGTTACTTTGATAGCAAAACCTGCCACTTTATCTCGCAAATGACAATGGCAGAGTCGGAAATAAACATCTTTCCTTTAAAATATTGTCCCTTCTGAAGCTTTAACTCCAACTCAATACCCAACAAAAGCTAAACAGTCCTTCAGCTCATTAAATATTTGTGGGTTTTCTCACCCACTCTTATATCCTAAAACTCATTGCATGATCTTTACCCCTCTTTTCTGACCAGGTGGAACGTGAGCTTGGGCTACATTCTAGTGCTGAAAGCATCCGTCAGTGCTCTAAATGACTGGCCTTTGGGAGACACACTGCATATATGTGGAATACTGAAGCTGCACCTAGCAGAAGGAGTAGTTCCTCCAAGTAACTCATGTGGAGGGATTGGTTGAGGAGAGAGTGTAGTAACTTTGTGCTAGCTAGCCCTTTGCACTCAACCAGTGACTTAACTGGTAATCCTCTACAGCAAGGCTTTGTTACAATGTGCACTGCCAGTGGCTACTTGCCAAGCTAACAGATGTTCCCTTTCTCTGTGTTGAGATTTCCCAAAATGTTTGTATTGGCACTGAGGGAAAGTAGGAAGCAGACCGGCACATTATAATCCATCAGGCATTACAGCCCTGCAAGCACCTACACAGAGATATCCACTTCAGGGGAAGCAGTCTGGCAGAATCAGAGAGGAACACCTTGTGACGCACTCACAGGGGGAATCAAATGCTGATCATAGCAAGCTTGAGGATTGGAAGTTTAATACCTTATGTGGGCTGTACTGATTAACTAGCATAAGTTTTCATGCAATCCTTTGGGAATCATTGGAGGTCACTGCATGGAATAACAAACAGTATCTATCTATTGTACGGTTTCACTTCCTTCCACCTCCTTTAAGCTTTCAAGTTTCCTGAGACTCAGGAAACCCACTCGCCTGTAGTTAAAAATGGGATGACTGCTAACGTTATGGCAGGAAACCTCACTATGTTATTTAAACGACCTGCCCACATCCTGTGAGCTGTTTGGGTCACCTATTCCTTGTCACAGCATCATTAAAAACCTGAAATAGGTGATTTGAAATAGGTGAATTAGATTCCTGCTTTAGAATTGTTACATTTCAACCTCTGACATGATCTCAGTTCAGGACAATGCATAAAAAAAAGAACAAATGTTACCCAACTCTTTTCTTTCATCTGGATCAGAAATGAAGCAAAAGTAACTTAGTTAATATTGGTCAAATTGACTGTGGTAGAGACAATTTAATGTGTATCTTTAATTACAAGTATTAGTTAAACAAGGTGACATTTGAGAGAGAAAACAATAGTTAGGTAATTATTGTGGCTTTGGGTGATATTGTTACATTTAATATTGGCTTAAATTTGCAAAGTTTAAAACATATTTTCTTAGGAAGTGAATGTTTTCTGAAAACAATGCTGCACCTTTGTGTGACCAGTCCACGTTTATTATTAACAATGGCTTTTATTGTCTAAATATAAAAATACTCGACAAGGAAATAAATGGCTTTTCTAATGATCTTTTATAATAGATATTGGCTAATAACAGTTGTGCCAAAATAGAATTGCATTAAGCCATGTGACAGACATTGACAAATTCCCACCTCGTAAATGAAAAGAAAATTAGATTTTTGTCTAATTTCAAATTTTGTAATGTATTGCTTTTAACATAGTGTTATTAGTGTAATGCCATTTTTAATCCACTTTTATATAAAATTTATGAACACATTATGCCTTGCTTTATTAACCATGATTTATTTTTTTAAAAATTGCTCAAGAGATGTGGGTGTCACTGGCTAGACCGTCATTTATTGTCCATCCTGAATGTTACTGACAGGAGTACTCCAGATCTACCATTTGTCTTTTCCTTTGATCTAACTTATTCAATATTACAGTTATCTTGTACCAAATGTGAGCCATGGAAATGTACTGGAATAATATCATAACAATGGATCCAATTTTCAAAAATCTTGGCATGCATGTGTATTTTTGTATTCTGCCTACCTCTGGTTTTGTATTGGTTCAGTGGGGGTCTGCTTCCTAAATTCACCTACACGGTCTGTTTATAGGGCGGAAATGGTCAGCTCCAGTGGCATACATAAGGCTACTCTAATTTCTGGGGATGAATTTCAACACCCAAAATGGGTACCAGGAAGTGGATAAATAACTATTTTAATCAACTTACAGTACCTCATGGTCTTTGGGTTCAACAGTGATTGACTGAGGAAGTTCAAAGACATCTGCAGTGACTTCAGTGTCTTTACAACACTCCAGTCGATCAAGAGGTACAAAAACTTTTTCTCAGAACCAAGCTCCCACAATCCCATTGTGGTCAACAACAATGGGCCCAAAGTTGGATACTCTAAATTGACCCACTGTCAGAGAAATCAGGCCTGACAGAAAATTGGCCAAACTAAATTAAACTACAGCCAGCAGTTGTTGGCGACAAAGAACAGTGGGAACCAAGGTCAAAGAGGTTAAAAATATTCAGGGAAACCAGTTGCCAACCAGCTTGGGGGTCTTGTACTGGAGAAGTATTTGATCAGACTTTCTGGAACATTGACTACCTTAGTGTCTGCACTTTACATGCATGGCAGCAGGGAAGGGTGTTGGGACAACCCCACTGGATGCTTTGAATCCGGCTCATGACCCCATTGGCCAAAGGCAACAGACATTCTGGAAGGTCAAGGAAGGGCATGGAGGTGTAAAATACACACGCCTCGAAGCCAGCCCATCAGTGAAGACCAGTAGAGAATATTCATGGCACAACACCAGAAGACCCATAAGAAGATCCGGCCTGACTTGCAAGACCCATCTTCATGGAAGAGAGCCAGCTCTATGTCAGAGAGGAAGGAGATTCCAATGGCCCAGCTCAAGTATGTGGATCATTGCAGGTAATATCCTTTCTCAGATGCATAGAGCTAGACAGAGAGTAAATATTGTGGGAATTTGCTCACATGGTGTTTTTAATAAGGAATATTTTGTTAATAAAATTGAGTTGAAAGGTAAAATCCTATCTCCCTTTGTCTGCCCCATCGACAAGAGCACTTGGGTAAAATATTTTTAATGTGTAAAATGGTTAAAGTGTTCAGAGCACGGCCAATACCATCATACATATTCCCTTGCATCGAAGATCCTCTGGATCAGAACTTGCACCTACCTGCCCCTGGAGCCTATCTTCCCTGACCAAGTGCAAACCCAATCTTCAAATTAGACTATATTCTAGGCAGGGAATTTATGAAGCAATGAAATAAACAAGATGTAGAATTGAACTCCACAGCATACAGGAAATGCCAGTTCTCCATGTTTCTGCATGGAAATTGCATCTCCCCTCTGCCTGTCTAACCTGCCCCGAGAAAAATTCAAGATAACAAGGTGTAGAGCTGCATGAACACAGCAGGCCAAGCAGCATCATAGGAGCAGGAAAGCTGACGTTTTGGGCCTAGACCCTTCATCAGAAATGGGGGAGGGGAAGGGGGTTCTGAAATAAATAGGGAGAGAGGGGGAGGCGGATAGAAGATGGATAGAGGAGAAAGTAGGTGGAGAGGAAACAGACAGGTCAAAGAGACGGGGATGGAGCCAGTAAAGGTGAGTGTAGGTGGGGAGGTAGGACGCCGCCTCCCTAATCTGTTCTTCCTCCCACCTATCCCCTCCTCCCACCTCAAGCCGCACCCCCATTTCCTACCTACTAACCTCATCCCGCCCCCTTGACCTGTCCGTCCTCCCTGGACTGACCTATCTTCTCCCTAACTCCCCACCTACACTCACCTTTACTGGCTCCATCCCCGCCTCTTTGACCTGTCTGTTTCCTCTCCACCTACCTTCTCCTCTATCCATCTTCTATCCGTCTCCCCCTCTCTCCCTATTTATTTCAGAACCCCCTTCCCCTTCCCCATTTCTGATGAAGCGTCTAGGCCCGAAACGTCAGCTTTCCTGCTCCTATGATGCTGCTTGGCCTGCTGTGTTCATCCAGCTCTACACCTCGTTATCTCAGATTTTCCAGCATCTGCAGTTCCTACTATCTCCGAGTAAAATTCAGCCTGCTTTGATTCTGTTTATATTGACTGGAAACTCATCAGACCTTTGGTTCTTCTCTTTCTCTGAAATGGACATTCTTCCTGCCATTCCTTTCTGATGATGAAGGAAAATAACACAAAGCTGCAGTTGTGATATCCTTACTCTCCCAACATGATGACACAGCTGTACTTTGTGGAGTTTCTAGTGCAGCAGGTTATTTCAGGCAGGCTGTCACACAGATCTGTGCCACCTCCATCCATACAGTACTGTTTTAGTTGCTACTGTATAGCATCTGTCAAAGTCAAGATTGTTGCAGCTATCAGCTCCTTTCATACTCCCATTAGGGATTTATCAACGTTGAAAAAAATACAATACACTGTAAAATTACATTTTTGCAATGAAAACACCCCCATTCTCCAAAAGTATTCTTTTAAATAAATTCATTGGATAGATAATGGGTCTTATAAAGGTCTGGGGAAAGGGATAAATTAAATTTGCCAGATTAGGAAAACAAAATGAAGTTTGTGGAATGAGTTTTGGCGCTGCCTATTGCTTTCCATATAACAAGCCAATACATTTCCTAAAGTAGTGGATGCACATGAATGATCATATGTGAACTGACTTGAATTGGAATGGATTAGACAGTTATTTGGATGCAACTCTCCCCTCCAAATCTGATTTAAAGAATGCCATCCATCTTAAACCTATTTAGAAAGTGAGAAGAAGTCATGCGATTAATCATTATTGAAAAATAGCTCCTTATTCTCCATTTTGATGACATTCACTGATCAAGGCAATGCAAATCCCATGAACCTCAGATGAAGCAGCCATCTATAGACTTAATGATCATCCCCGAGTGCCATTTTATTAGGTTTCAGTAAATTAAATATATTAAAATGAACAATGTTTGTCACATGTTCCAGCAGATTTACCTTTAAGACATTCAGAGGATTAAAATTAGAACAGCACAATCTCAAAACACTTTGATTGAAGAAATTTCATGGGTTGAAATGATAGTAGCACGGAAAATTTTCTGAGGGACGTCAATTACAAGGATAACACATGACAGGAGGTAGATCAATTGGTATAGGACTGATAGACTCAGTTTTTTTGTACAGAAGAAGGAGAGATACAGAGGGAGAGAAGACCACATAACTGCAACTCCGCAGGAACAGCAGGAGAACCAGCAAGAGGACTAACATCTGGCTGGATGTGCTAGTAAAGCAGGCACAGGAGAGTGTCAACAGCTTTCCATGTGAAGAGGGACCTATCCACAGTAAAATGTTTTCTAATCAATCTGTTCAGAAGTGTTATTACACACCTCTGGAGCAGGTGGGACTTGAATGCTTGCATCTTGGGGATATACCACTAGAGCCCCACAGGCAGAGTATGGATATTTTCTAGTCAGCCTGTTCTGACATGTTGTGACCTACCTCTGACCAAGTGGGGTTTGAACACGGGACTCTTGGTCCAGAGGTAGGGAGGCCACCAACTTATACACCCTCCTGCTAATGAGCTGAATTCCCTGGATTTCAGTGATCACTCAAATCTGGATAATCACCATGCACTTGACATCGATGCATTTGGCTCTTTCTGGTGATCCTGTGGGGAGTGATGTGGGATTTTCCAGGCATCAATGATGTGAGTAATGTCATGTTCAAGTGGCCAAGTGAATATGTGCATGTACTGCTATGTACTGAATAGCTCGAGAAATTCAGAGTGAGAGCAGTACAGGTTTGGGGCCTGTGTTAGATTCCCACAACTGCAAAGTGTTATCGATTGCAAGTATGTAGC